AGAGTCTTCAAGACTGCTAAACTTCACCATGGTATGATGCGTTCCATGTATTCCAATGGCATCTTTACCTGGGAAGATGGCTGAGTGTTGAGGAACGATCTGATATTGTTGACGCAGATTAGTCATTAGCATCATTACGGTTGGCCAGGTCAACTAACCAGCCCAATTCCAGGAAGAGGCAGCTCCTCGTAGAAGCACGTAATCTGAATAGTGCCGACTCCCGCCTTTGTCTGGGATTGTGTAATGTTGTGAAAATTGTCCTGTATCTCGGCGAGAACCTCCGACTCGGGTCTGAGAACGCCGAGGATTTCGGTGTTTGTTTGCTTTAGCACTCCGACGGATTTGCCAAATCGTTCTGCCCACACAGCAAGAGCTGAGCCGTGGTGCGGTGTACCGAGGAAGAGTATGCCTCGGGTTGCTTCGAGGACTTCTTTAAGGTGTTCTCTCGTGTGAGCGCGTGCAAGAGCCTGTCGAGGGATGAGATTAACATGGCAGTACTATGTTTTGGTTTCCCCTCAACCTTCATGACGGTGAACACTTGGGTGACACGTACAGCTTGACAGACCAGTCCACCCAGGCTGTGACAGACAAATATGATGGGACGCGCAGACTAAGAACGTTAGAAAACCGCTCTTGATAACGGCAAACAGGACGACCCACGCTGTCGGTTCGATCTCGAAAGTTCGTAAGTCTCTTCAAAAAAGTCGCCGCATGGTCTCGAATGCGACTGACTGAGACCATCTCGGTAGCCTTGGCCACATCTGCGTCGTAGCCGTACGCCAAAACTCGGGCATTCGGTATTTCGGACGGAAGCAAAGCTTTAGGCCAAGGCTCAGATGCCTTGTCTGATGTCCAAGTCTTTTCACGATGACCTTTCAAGCCATGGATGAAGACGATGCTATCGACACATCTATTAGCATACGCGATGGTTCATTCCACGCCGAGAAATACTGACTCCACAGCAGCGTTTCCGTCAGAGGGATTATACAACACGCTCATGCCTATTGGAGTTGACGAGGTCGTAGTCAGTTCGTCTGCCCCACGTGAAGCCATGGTGTTCGACCCATGTAGACTCGTCGACGGGTTCGAAGGAAACACATCGGTCGGGGTGATGGACGCTTCTTCCTGCGCGTCATTCCTAGCCCGCTTGTCGGGTTTGTCGCGGTCCTTGCTCCAGTCTGTCTGAAAAAGGCGCTTCATTGGTACAATGATAATGACTTGAGGCTCTAGTAGCCTGAAATCTCATGAAATTCGGGTCACTTGGCATACAAGACGAGGCGAAAATGGACGTGAAAATAGGAAAAAGTAAATGATGAGATGTCTCAGCTGCATGAAAGGGGCATAGACTGACGAGGGCCCCTGTCGATTCATTGAGGCACAGCCTGATCACGCGTGACCAACACATTTCGCAACACATTTCGACCAATCAAAAAGACACCTCATTTTTAGCAGATTAAGTTGCAAAAGCAAAGAAAAGTCACGTTTTGCACCTTCTACGTGAGAGAAACCCTTCAGGCGGTCAAGTATATCGAAACTAGAGGCTCATCATCGAAGCCGAGGCGCTATGAGGACACCGGTCTCATAGTACAGAGGTTTATTCAACACCTGATTTCTCACGAAGACTGAGTATATACAGTGGCTTACTTTGAATCGACGCATTCTTCAGCTTGAGATGCTCCGGATCCTGCCCTTTTAGAGAACTTTTATAGTTAATTGAATCTAAGGGTATTTGGCAAGTCGCCGTGTTCTATCCACTTTTCAAGCAAAGGCTCAGAGGAGACTAACACGCGGGTGACAAAATACATGGCCCGTCACCATACTGCCCTTACAATAACACGCCCCAGAAGCCTCGTATCAGCGTCTTAAAAACAGAAAAAGCTACTAAGACTATAAAGAAGAGTTAAATTATTATTATTTTGACTTAGTTCGAGGCGAAATAGTGCTATGTAGCTGGTGTTGAAAGGTAGTTCCGTGGGTGCCGAATAGTAAGAGGCCATGTGTTTTGTCACCCGCGTGACTACAAGCAGTAAACGGTTGTATGTAAATATAGCACTAATGAAGGAAAAGTCATTACAGGGATCATCTACCCACAAACTTGCTGTAATCGTCTTTCCTGCCGTCACGGTGACCTACGCGAGGTTGGGGTCAGTGGGGGCAGGTAGGTAACATGTGGCGATTGATTTCCTACAGAGGCACAGAGGCTAGAGATAAGAAGAATGTAAAGACGATAACCTCGACCGTTCTTCGACGACAGAGAGACCGTTACCGCCGAGACGTTACTTTACTACTACTAAGACTAGCGACCAGCGAGAAGCTGCCTCTGTTTAAGTAACGTTTGGTTATACTTTGAGATGAACACGGATTCTCTTTTTTCTGGCTCAACTGTTCATTCTCTATACTTTCCTTGCGTAATGAAAAAAGCATGCATGAGACAAGCCATGTTTCCTGAGAAAATAGCTCAATCAGTCGTCTGCAAAGCCTTTAGCGTTGTTTGGTTACAGTCTCTACATGCCAGAAACCCTTAGAAGGGCTGCGTTCTGACTATCGACGAGAACCGCTCGGATCAGCCCCAGCCGAGCCGGGCCACCACGATTAAAGAATTAACAGTAAAAGCTTGTATCGACGAGGTAAGATCCTCGGCTACCATAATTAGTGGGCCAAACAACAAACAACGGTAGGGATCGGTATGCATAACGGAACTGCAGGCTCGATTTGGTCAACCTCCCTTTCCCCATCCTTAAACTTACCGAGGCTTTCTTCGTATACACAGTATTGAGAAACAAAAGTTCCATCCACTTGGTCCCCAGCTCGGTCTTCGTTATGTGGCGTGCAACGGAACGGAGCTTAGATTTCCTACGACCTGTAAAGAATTATCTCCTTACAACTACAGTAAATTCGAGATCGCACTCGGTGATATCGGTCGGCATGCCCTCTCGTAAGCGATTAGTCGACACTTGAGTCAGAGAAACGGAAAGTTGAATTCAATCTAGGTCGGAAAATCCAGAGGGAAAAGGAGAATCAGTCAAGGAAGATCAGTGGGCTTTCCGTCTTGATCACGATAGATTTTGAAATATAAATAAAGGGACTCGTCCTACGAGTTCTCTTTTCCATATAATCAGCTCTTTGCTCTGTACTCGCATCAAAGTGTCTCATAGCAGTAGCCAAAATGTCCTCTTCTCTGAAGTTCCTCGTCTATGGCTGTGCGGCCGCCATGGCCGTGGCAAGCTCGCTGCCTTCATCGAACTCGAGCGCCACAAGGGCAGCTGTCAAGGAGTTCCCTGAGTGCACCTCATTGCACCAGAGAAAGTCCTGGTACGTTGGATTGATTTCGGGCTCCTCAAACTGCTTTTCTGACAAACTTCCAGGACTGCGATGACGACCACAGAGAAGAAGGCTTGCATCGACGCCGAGCTCTGCTTGATGAACAAGGCCCCCAAGCTGGACGTCGCCGGCTCTCAGAACCTTTGGGATGACGTGATGTACGCCCACATCTACCAGGCCAACGTCATCCACAATGACGGCCCATTCCTTCCCTGGCACAGACTGTACAGTAAGTCTCATTTCGTCATCATGGTTGAGGACAAGCAATAACGAAGCAATATCGCAGTGCGTGTCCATGAAGTCTACCTCCAGACCGAGTGCGGCTACGAAGGAGGTCAGCCCTACTGGAACGAGTTGGAGGATGCCGAAGCCGGTTTCTTGAACCAGTCCACCGTCTTCGATGCCGAGACCGGATTCGGAAGCTTCAAGAATGGCGACAATGGCTGCGTTGCCGATGGGCCGTTTATGAACCTGACGATGCACTTGAACCAGACCAGCAGCGATGCGAACTTCTGCTTGACCCGAGACCTCAACCAGGACAGCTTCTATCAGGCCAACAGCACCTACGTCAACGAATGCATGGCTATCGATACCTATGTTGACGCGTGGAACTGTTGGGGCACGGCGCCTCATCTTGCCGGTCACATGGGAGTTGGCGGTACTGTAAGTCAAAAGCTGAACTTCCACCATACTGGAGTATCATGACTGACTTTTCTTGCCTTGCCAGATGCTGGATGTTGTCTCCAGTCCTGGTGACCCTTTGTTCTTCCTTCACCACACCAATCTCGACCGATTGTGGTGGGAGTGGCAATCCGTCAACCTCACCGCTCGTCTCAACGAGATTGGAGGGCCTGTGGTTGCTTCGGATGCCTTCCTCACGATGTCCAACCTCGATTACCCCGGTGCTGACCTCCTAGACTACAACGGGGAGAACGGCGGCAACGTAACCACCATGGCTCACAACCTTTGGACTGCGGGACTATTGCCTAATGTTACGATCGCGGATCTGATGGATATCCGCGGTCCCATCAGCTGTGCAAACTACGTCTAAGTAGACTGCAACATGCTCGTGAGGTTGAAAACGCGGCACGGGTAATGCTTCATGCGGTGGGATACCGGTATATGATGTGGGGGCCGTACCACACACCACCTTGCATGTAGCTTTGGGTCTATTGATCTCTTTCATTCCCCCATAGCCCAGTTTCGTAATGACGAAGTCGCCATTCCAGCTAGGTGAATGATTATGGTTACGCTCGTCAATCTAGGTACTTGCAATACCTCACTAGCTTCACTTTCTTCTATAGATATTCAAAAGTTGGACAAAGGCAATAGACTGCACTTACTCTTCAAATGTCGATGTCTGTGATGTCAACCTTTTTGCTCACCTCTAAGGCAAATTGTGAGTCTACTTCAATATCTGGATTTAGGTTTGGCTCCTGATGTTTTTAGCCAAAGAAAGAAGACTAGGTTGGCATAAACTGTGGCCAACAATCCAATGATTATGGGACCGTCTGGTGGCTTTTATCATTCACAGGATTGCGAATGGACTCCATCCAACACGAGACACCTTAGCCCCCATCAAAGCAACAAGAGAAAGAACATAGATAAGACCAGTGAACAAAACCAACCCCCAATATTCCCCGTTTTGCGCAGAGATGATCTCTCCAGCCACAGGCACATCAAAAAGGCAGGCAAACGAAGCCGCCGTATAGGCCGTTGCGTAATACCGCCCATAACTCTCCGTCTTACAGAGTTTTCCTATACACACCGGGCTGATACTGATATTGTTTCCGCTAGCGAAGCCAAACAGGACCACGAAGACGACGATGCCCGCCATAGAGGAGCCCGCCGGCAGCCACACGGCCAAGCAAGCGACGATGCTCAGCACTAGAGCCAGGATATTGGAGTTGAAAGGTCCGGCAAAGTCACCGAACCACCCTGCCAAGATACGTCCGGCTACACTTCCCGCGTTAAGAATCGTAGGGATCTGATAGGCAAAGTCGATATCGAAGCCCTTATGAATGGCATAGCTCGATATGTACGTGAGAGGAATGAAGAGCGACCACTCAAGGAGGAAGATACCGAGTGTAGTCAACGCAAATGCCGGATCTCGGAGTATGCGGATGTTGGGATGAACCGAGGCGTTGGGGTTGGGTGGTAGTCGTCTGTCGATAAGAAGGGTCGCAGCCCCGCAGAAAACGAGGACGATGAATCCAACGGTCCGGATCGCCCATGCCCAGCCAGCTCGTTCGAAGAGGGCGCGGAGCATCATGGGATACACGATGCCTCCGAAACAACCTCCAGTGGAAGCAATGCCGGTGGCAAGTCCTCTGCGATGGTAGAACCAGTGACCGACGGCTGCGAATGATGGCGTGAATAGGAGGGAGGCACCAACGCCATTGAGGACTCCGAAAACTAGCATGAAATGCCAAAACTCTGATGGAAGATCATTGTCAATTGACTGCATCTCTTCAATTTTCACAGAACAGTGTAGATGGTATACTTACGGGTAGAAATGCTCAACAGCATCTGAGCTGTCACAACACAGACGGTGCCGGACAAGATCAACCATTTCGGGCCATACTTGTCAAAAACGGGACCGATATAAATCCCACAGAAGAAGCAGAGGAACATGTACATGGAGAAAATCCAGCCGATGGTGCCTTCGCTGTAACCTTGTAGCTGGTGAGAGCTGATGTAAGCGTGGATGGTCGCCACGCTGTTTGAGATGCCCAAGGCCGAGAAGGATGCGAACCAGGAGCCTAGCACGACGGACCAAGCGCGCAGGCCTCCTTCGGGGTATTCATCTTCTGGGTTCGGAATGGTCTCGTCGATGCTTGGGTTATACTGGGGTTCCGGTTTCGAGTCTCGGATTTCGGCCTGGTTGGTAGTGTGGTTGGGAGCCATGTCGTGGATTCCCTCAGGCGCGGCCTGGTTCTGCTCAGGAGATCTCAGTGGTTGAGCCATCTCCAACTTCTTAACTCGCGTGAGAAAACTGATGACTTGGAGAAAAAACAAGCAAGCATCTTACAAAACCCTTGGGGGCTCTAGCGAAATAAATAGTTTTCGCAGCAGAGTGGTTAGTGACTCAAGTAACAATGGTAACAATCTCACTCCCCTAAGGGTAAGTGTAATCGATGTCTTGACCTCAAAAAACCAACGCAAGGAAAGCCGTTGAGACTCCATAGGGAAAAAAGCATGGGTCACCCTACATATTTCTACATATGCACTCCACGCAAAGCGCGCCCTACAACTGACATCCTGGAAAGAAGCGGGCTAGACCTGTAAAGGAAAGGGGGAAAAAAAATCAAGACTGTGAGAGCAGCGTCTTCAACTCGGCCACTTCTTTGTTTCCTTGACAAAAGGATACGGACACCAGCCAATGACTTGTCGTCTTCCTCTTCCACGTTTTCTTAGAAAGGTAAGTTACGCCTATGTGGGACCGGCGTCGGCATCGGCTCCGGCTCAACGACCGGTGTCGCAATCGCGGGAAAACAGGGGACCCCACAAGTGGGGCGGCCCGAAAGGCAGTTTAAACGTCACATCTCCCACCTCCAAATGACTCCGAGACTCGGAACCAACGCTAGATCTTACCTTTAGAAGACAAGCCGTCAACCCACACGAATCTCCCGCCAGGGTCACGCAGGGTCACGCCAGGGAAGGAAACTCGAGACGATGCTCCTCCAGATCCTGGGGTCTCTCCAACACCTCCGGGCCTCGACCATCGTCTACGCTGTCATCGCCCTCCTCCTCCCGGTTACCCTCACCGTAGCCTTCATCCTTCATAATGGCGAAGCCGCGTCCACGCGCAGGAAGCTCCGGAACTTGGAGTCCATAGGTGTCCCGGCCAACAAAAGCCACATGGCAGATCAATTCGACTCCAAATATGCCCTGCCGGAAGACACACCATCGGGCAACCAGGGGCCGATCCGCATCAAGTCAATCTACATCCACCCGATAAAATCCTGTGGCTTCATCGAAGTAGACAGAGCCCTCCTCACGAAAACAGGCTTCGCGTACGACAGATGCTTCGCCCTCGCAGCCGAGACGCCCGACCCGGAAACGGGCGCCGTCTCCTGGAAACTCATCAGCCAGCGCACAAAGCCAAACATGTGCCACATCCACACAGAAATCTACCTCCCCAAGAAGAACAGCGACCAGCGAGACCCCCTAGTCCAAGCCGGCGGCTGCGTCCTCGTAACCTTCTCAGACCCAGACCCCCCAACCTGGGCCCAACGCATCGAGACCTTCCTCTCAAACCCCTTCAACCCTTCCTTAACACCCCAAATCTCCTTCATCGTACCCCTGAACCCCCCTTCAACCCTCGTCGATGAATTCAACATTGGCCTCAAAACCTTTGGCATTCACGCCCGCGACGCCTCCGGGCTAGACATGTCCCGCATCCCCTCCGTCGCCACAACCCTCCTCCCGAAACTGAAGAAATTCCTCGCCATCCCGCCGAACCGCGGCCTGACGCTCACGCGCTGCACGCCCGAGACCTTGACGCGGACGACCCTCAACCTCGCGCCCGTGAGCTACATCGGCTCGCCCGCCGTCCACGGGTATACGGACCAGCAGCCCGTCAACCTCAACAGCTTGTCCTCCGTCCACGCCGTGTCAGCGCTGCTGCCGCCGGAGAATAGACCGCTCGACGCCCTCCGCTTCCGGGCGAACTTATGGGTTACGGGAGCGCCGGCGTACGTGGAAGAGACGTGGAAACGATACCGCATCATCCCCAAGGGAAACCTCTCAAATAACAGAAGGCCGCGGGCGGACGTCTCACCAAAGCTCTCCGTCGTCTGTAGAACTTCCCGGTGTACGATGCCAAACGTCAATCTCGCTACAGCGACCTTTGACACGGAGAACCCTGCGTCAGCTGAGAAGAAGAAGGGGAAGCCGCAGCCTAGCACGACGCTGATTGAGCACCGCACCCCTGAGACGGGGAACCCCAAGGCGCTGGGGTACCTCGGGATGCACTGCGTGCCAGAGGACGACGACCTGGACGAGGCTAGCAGGCAGGGGAAGGGGCTATATGTCCATGTCGGCGATGAAGTTGAAGTTCTTGAGACGGGGGAGCATTTGTATGGGTCTACTGCGAATGATTATTGAGGTAATTACTTCCTGGGAGGGCTTGAGCTAAGAAGAACTGAGTGGAAATAAAAGGGCTGCTCTTGTGGGCTTGCGCTGAATGATGACGTACATAATGTCTGTAATAGCTTATCGATCAGAAAATATGAAAGTTTTCTGGCTCAAGTTGTCTAGGAGCCAGAGTGACGTTGAAAAGTTCATCCTTATGGTCAAGGACTCCCATTTGATGGGAGACCCGAATGGCTTTACTAGCCACTTGCAAGTTGTCAAGCCGGCATTACTCACAGACTCATAAATTCTCCCTTGTTTGGTCTAATTCAATGGCAAATCTGAGTTTTAGTAAAGGCAGTCATGTAGACCATGACTAGCTGTGATGAATCTAAGCCGGTATAGACCAACATAATGTCCTTCACAAAGCAAGAACCATGGTCTGCAGAAAAGGGTTTGGTTTATGAACAAGATGAATGGAAGACCTCGATGCAATTAATCTTCTTATCGTCTATATGTTGCTGACTTCCATGGCCTGCTGTGTACTACTCTGGGTCTATATCTACCTATACCAATCCGTCTATACCACATCACTCCATCACAACCCATAGTCTCTAAAGCCCATCTTCCCAAACTCTCAAACCATCTCGACCCTTTTCCAAAACTCCCTGTCCACCAAACCCCCAAACCCACCCATAACTTGTTCATCTCCCAACGCCAACCTCCCCAAGCACCCTCCTCGCCCCCAACTCCCTCCACTTCCCCACCGTCTCCGGCCTCGAAGCCCACACGACACCAAGCATACCAACAGCATTTACATCCGCCCCGTCAACACCCGCCTTCACCCTAGGAACCACAACGATCCACCGCCGCCCGAGGATAACATTATGCGGCACCGCCACGGCCCTCCCGTCCCCGTCCTCCTCGACAATCTTCTCCCGGCCGGGGATCAGCTCCGTCGTCTGGCGGAGCATGTCTCTGTACTTCGCCGTGAGGTCCTTTGTCGAGGGCGGTGATGTGCCGCTGAAGCGGTGGATGAAGTATCGGAACGGCGGCTCCTGCTCCCCATCGCCGACCGCTTCCGTCTCCGTCCCGTACCCGGAGTCGACGAGGTCAGGCCACATGGGAATCGCCTCCGGCGCAGGGATAACCTGCATATGCTTATGCAACCGACTATACCCGCCCTCTTTACCACAGTTGAAGATGACCAGATACTCTTGTCCATTCTTCCCGCCGTCAACACCCTTCACCTCACCACCCCATCGTCCATTCAACCCCCCCAGAACCTCCACCGCAGCCCCTAGATCCCGCTCACCCAACCCCTCAAACTGCCTCCTCCTCCCGTCGGCAGTCAAAAGGAGAAGATGCGGCCTGTACGCGCAGAACTTGTTGAACGCCAGCACGTGTGTGGCTTCTTCGTCCCCGCCACCGCTGATGGTCGTGAGCTCGAAGCCCGCGATGCTAATGTCACCTCCGGGAAGGTTCCCTTCTTCATCGAGGGTGATTCGGTTGTTCTTATCACGGTGTTTCTCTTTGCCGTGGGTGTGACTGTGAGCGCGCGAGGCTGCGCTTGCGGTCGTCTGAGACGGCGGGCTCGTTTCGTCGTCTGCGTCGTCTAGCTCCGCGTTATCTTCTACCGCGGCGGGTTTACTCTTCAACGCGGCCGTCAAGCGGAACTCAAACTTAAGGCAGAATCGTCAGTCTCTGTAGTACCCATGATCTCTTGCCACTGAAGCCTTTCAATGTCCTTCTCTGAACCCTTATCACCGCCTGTCTCGTCCCTCTCGTAAAGCGAAGAGAAAGAGGAACATTCGAATTACAACCGTTATCCGTGCCCCAGTAATAGGCGTGAAAATCCAGTAAAGAAGAGTAAGGAAAAAGGACTTACCTTGAAACCTCCGTCCTCATGATAAATTTTCTCCATGTCTTCGGCGTACATCACGATCCCGTCCCGAACCTTTTCATCAAAGGCAGCGAGGACCGAGGCCTCAGTTATCGGTGAGGCCATTGCGCTTTTCTCTGCTCTGGTGAGTCTTTACTGTTGGAGATGATTTAAAAGCGACAACTCAGGAAGGGTATGCCGAATTATAAATTGGAATGAAATATCAACGGGACGTTAATGAGAGTTGTAGGCCGTAGGTAGGTGAATCGACATGTCGAAAGTCGCAGGAGTGGCAGTCGGAATGAAAGCAGGTTATTGGTCGGTTCCATATGACGACATCAGAAAGTTACCCCCTTGCATTGATACTTGCACAACGCGACAACGTTCAGGCTTAGTTTTTAAACCCCCAGAATAGTTTCTAGGGATGGTGTTTTGCGAAAGTCATAGTTGAACTTGATGCTATTAAGATTTTAGAGTATCAACCGCGTGACGTTCCTCTCGCGCCCGCTTTTACGTTTTGTCTCCAAAGGAGGTATTATACTACAATTTTCCACTACGCTTGAACCCCCCTGACGCCATCATCGACTCGTCGAAATGCTGCTGTCCCTTAGACACTGACTGTACGTCTCGTATCATCTCGGCAACGGCTTATATGCCGCATATACTTCCAGCCTACACCATCGTCGATCCCGTCCCTCCTCCTATACCGTTGTATGGACAGCTATATCTACGCAGGAGGAACGGGGGCAGCGGGACCGGTGCCAGTCGCGGCGCCTCGTTGGGCGGGAGGAGGGAGGAAGAGGGGCAGGTAGCTGACGGCGAGAGCCATGACTATTATACAAGCGTCAGTGAACAAGCTTATGGAAATGCGACTTGGGGCAGAGAAAAGTGACATACCTGACATGCCCACGGAGAAGTACCCCGGCGTCGCGGAGCTCTTCTTCGTCTCCTCGCTCTCTCCAAGCCAAGTCTGAATGCTGAAGACGACGGAAGCCCTGTCATTATTGTCCTGTCAGTAAGTCTGATCGCCAAGCTATGCCCATTTAGACCGGTGCTGTAGTTGCTTGGGGAAGACCCAGTAACGCTGTCCATCTCGTTGAGGAAGAACAGAAAATGAGCCATACCATCCGATGAACTTGTTGCGCGTAAGCATCGCAGCCATTGGCAGGGTAGAAGACAGCGTCGAGGAGAGCTCGGTGGAGTCGCCCTTAGCCTTGGGCTCCTGATAGGGGACGACTGCGCGGAAAGGCAGAGAGGTTAGCAGACATTCGCGACAGGATAGGAGTGGTGCAAAACATACTCAGGTCCGGCCGACGCATATCCCGCTTGGACGCCATTGTGAAAGCTCTGGTTGAATTGAATGTGCTGTACAAAGTGGGAGACGTGGAGAGCTATGGTGGAGGGGGGGGTCGATAGTGCCACAGTCCTGGATGCGTGAATGAAGCTCTCACCCGAAGTGACGGGCCGCAATTACAACACTCCAACAGAGACGTGGCGCCTAAATTCTCAGGCAGAAACACACGCGACCCCAAAGAGCTGGGGAAGGTGAGAGGAAATGGGAAAGGGAAGGCCGGCCGATTGCCCCGCCCCGCTTGCACACACTCAGTCGACGACACGTTTTGTGCTATATCCACGCCCCCCTTTTCTTCTCTCCCGGAAGGTGCCTGGGGATGTGTAATGTGTGCCCGCGCGAGCCGTCAAGCGGCCCCTCCGAACGCCGCCGCCCCACGAACCGATCTGACAGTGGGAAGTGGAAGCAAAAGTTGCAGAGATTCCGAGGGACGCGGATTCCGATAACGAACAGGCTCACACTTTGCGAGCCCGGGATTTTCAGAAACCTGATACTAAAAAGATGGGGATCGCCGTCTGCCCAGTGCGAACGTGGGAGGACGCTCCCGCCGACGGGCTTAACCTTGCCATGGTGTTCGTTCCGTTGCCGAATTCGACTTCACGAGTACGCCCCGGGGAATTGGAGAGCCAAGTTTACAGGCTGCAACGGATAACCTCCGCAGGACATTGTCTACGTGTGCCAACGCTCCGTAGGGGAAAGACATGACAGGATCCCGAAATGTCTGACTTTGGGACGTGGACCACTGGACTCTCTGGGAGCCGAAGTTTGCGGGGCCTCGGAAGATGCGGCCTACGGAGGGTCCAAAAGAAAGGAGAAGGGCAGAACAGCTGCATATTACTCCGGCGTCTTCTCCGTGGTCGTGGTAATCATTCGCAGCATGGAGCTTTGCCGGAGCATTTTGTTTTGCGCGCCTGCACGGCACCCTTACGAAACCCCCCTCCGTTATCTGGCGCGGAAAGTATCGCCCGTATGCGGGCCCTCTGCAGCCAAAAAAGCACGAGATAACAGCTAGGCCGCGGCCGTCTGCCCTTGCAGGCACAGCTACCTATTTCCCCCACACGGGTCCTGCAGGAGAAGGAAAGGAGGGCCCTGGTGGCTCTTTTTGGAGCTCGCTTGGAACTTTCGAAAGAAGGTTTTCGACATCTTCTAGGGCCTGGGGCTGGGCGTTGTCGGGGAACTGGGCTTGGAGTCTGGAGATGCGGTGTGCTAAACTGTTGCCATACCATCGTGGCCTGTGCTTGTCCAAATAGCACTTCGGACGCGGGCTTTGGTCGCAGCGACGCGGAGCCTAACATTATAGATGTCGTTTGGCGAATAAGGGCCGGACAGCTTCAGTTGGGCTCCGCGAAACGTGGATGCCGTTGGAGAGGAGTCTTGGAGAGTGGTGGAACACAGAACAAAAGCCAACGAAAGGCCTCCAGCTGGCATAGTTGACGGGTCTGTTTGACCTGCGAAAGTCCACCCAGCACCAGCAGAGCCCGAACCAAGTTAGTCACGGCGACCCGACTATGATTGCACACACCTCCTTCGAAAATGTCTCGAGTGTTGGTGACCGCGAACACACGAGAGCAGGTCGTGTCAGCTGAAAGGGGATGGCCGATAACATCGTGTGTTTTTCTTGTGTTTATGGGCCATGGCAGGTGTTGGGCGGGTTCTCGGTGGTTACCCCCGCCAGGTACCACCTGATTTGCAGCGGCGGATCGCATGCAGCATGATGGCAGATTGCGTGACACCTGGCGGCGATTCAGCCATCAAAGACATGGACAGCGCGTGGGCAGCGCAAACCAAGCAGCCGCGGTGCCACGGCGGCCCGGTGCCTGGTCTGGTGTAGTAAGACCGGCGGGCGTGGTTTGGCACATTTTGGTTCGCCGGCGGAAGACAAACTTTCCCAGGGCCTGGAGAAGGAGACTACCCCAGGGCCCAAGGAGAGTTGGGACATTCGACCGGGATGCTGTTCGATATAAGCCGAAGGGTACTATAGCCCCCCCTCCTTCGAGGCCCTCCTTCGAGAGTTGAACCAGTGGTTGAAAAGGCCCCGGGGATGTGAGGACCAGAGAGAGATGTCCCAGGAGACCGGAGAGTCTGGACGAAACGCGGGAAGAGGTAGGGCCGGTTCTTTGTGTCCAACGGGGATGGTGGGTGCTGTGAATCTGGTGGGCGTTCTTTGCGGATAGCAGTGCCGCTCGCTCAGATCGTCTACCAATTTTTCAGAGTTGGGCCTGTTCTTCTTGTTCCCTCACCACCTGTTCGGGAGTCGGGAGAGCGGGCTGATGGGACGGTGGGAGAGGGAGGGGGGAAGGGATGAGACAAAACACACGGGGTCGTAGACAAATCAGATGCAAGAGGGAGAAGACAAGACAAGCGCTGCTCGAAGCGAGAGTGTCGATATGGGCGATGATGCGTCGTCCTGTCGATTTTGGGTTGGATGGATGGTGGCGTTGGAGCAAAGCACCCGAAAATGGCAGCTAAGATGCAAGTGGCAGTTAGTTACGGAGACGAATACCTACCTGCCACTCTGCGAAAGCGACGACTGCCTGGGTCTATTCCATAGATGCTAAGGACTGACAAACTGCCCATGGAAGGGACGTTTGGTGCGATTGGACGGGGTAAGAGGATAAGAGGATAGCAAAAGGCCAGGCCCGGCGATAGGAGCAGCTGTACTGTAAGGTAGTTGTCTTGGGGTGTTGGATCTTGGACCGAGTGCGGCTAACAACATCCCAACAGCCTATTCCGGCTTCCTCCCTCCGCCCTTCCGTCTGGCGATGCCGATGCGTGATGGGCTCTGCCATTCCAGCGGGACGGAACCCCGAAGGAAGCAAGATTTAGACCTGGGCGAAGGGGACACCCGGGCGTTTGGGTTCCCTAGCCTGTCGGGGTTTCCAGTGTGCTGCCCACTCCAGGTACCTCTAGACCAGACATTACCTTGGGTATCCGTAGTCAGGATGGTGTATCCGTAGTCAGGATGGTGTATCCGTACTCCGTACAGGTAGGAAGAGTCTAAGAGAGGGCAAGTGTCTTTACTAAGCAGTGGCTCGATCCTTGTCAGCATCGACTGCGAACTGACACTTGTCTAATTTAGCATGCTTCGGGTTATTTTGATGACCTCCAAAGTTTATACGCGAGGATGCAAGTCTGATACGGAGCTCGGAAAAGGCAAAAGGGGGCTTACGATGATGATAATATTGATAATGACGATAGGTAGGTATCTGTAATCCATCGTTGTCTTACGTCTCAGTACGAAAACACTGGGTGAGTGACAAGGAACGCCTTTTGGAACTGGGCAAGCCACAAAGGAAACAAGACCGGGGCGAAAGTGACTTGGAGGCGGGAGTGGGCGAATCAGCTGTAAGACATTGGCTGAACAAACCAATGAGACGGACAAGGCCCCATGGCGGTGAACGGGGGTTGTCCTTGGGCTGACGGATTCTCGAGGTTCCATTGGCACCAGGGGACTGAGAGGAGAGAGAGGACAAGAGATAGAAGGGGGGAGGTGTGTGTTCCTCTTCCCCAGCTGATCGAAAAACCCGACCTTACCTATTGAGGCTAGGGCCTTAGCTCGGCCTGGTTGTCGTCGATAATTTGTTGACAGGAAGCTTCCGATTTCCGTTCCTAGTTTATTACATCGCATCGTTAGCAATCGTTCGTCGTACAACCCGTCTCAGGTTACGGTTCGCAAGTAGACAACCGAAAATATTGAATCTGCCTATTGCCTACTGTGTTGCTGTAGCAAATGAATCTCCCAGCCTCGTCTTTTATCGACACGTTATTGTTTTTT